ATGTGGGACAACCAAGCAGAAATTCGTGTAACAAAGTGTCGATTGTTGGTATTGTTGCAAGACTCTATTTTCGTGTAGATCTGTAACACCACTGAATGGGAACACTTTTTTTTATTTTTATTTTTTTTGCTGAGCTGAAGTGTATCCCCAATATCCGACGTGCGCTGCAACAATTGCTCAAAGCGATTAAGCATAGTAACAAGTTGGCGTGGCCCAGCGGCTCTGTCGCCCTTCCACTTTAATTTCGAAAGTAGAAGCACTGCGGTAACTACTTAAGGAGTCAGTAGGGTAATCTTTTTAACAATTTTTTTCCTTTTTCTGTTCTCTTATATCCGTAGATTTAAAGTAGAAACCCGCTTTACCATTGGAAGGTATCGAAAAAGGCCCAAAAATAATAACACCGCACGACGTTCGGAGCTCTCGAAGTGCACACCTCAAACTTAAAACACGTTTTTCTCAAAACACACTTTATTAAACTGGCGGACATGATTAAGGTCGAACTACTCAACCGATTTGCTTAGTTTTTTTAATGTTCACAAAACGCCTAGGTAGGATGTCATATTAAATGTTTTAGACCGCATTTATCCAGATATTTTGATATTTTTGTAACGTTCTCGAGAGACGTAGTTTTCAAAAGTGTTGTAGGTGTTTGTTTATCGAAGATAGTCCTCCTGATTCCTGTGAAATGGTGGCATTCGTCGAGCAGGTGATGTACTGTTAGTGAAGCCCCCGGGCAATGTTGGCAGTAAGGCGGACTGGACCGATTGAAGAAGTACGAATGTCTGGCTATTGTGTGCCCTAAATGTAGGCGGACAAATGATTTAACATCGTTACATCGACAGTTCAGTGGATAGGTTGGTTTGCTCCTATCTGGGTTATTTAAAGTGTATTGGTGCTGGATGTGTCTCCAAGTGCCCATTAGCGATTTAAGTTGGTGTTGGTGTGCCATCTTATATAAGTCTTTATTCTCAAGAAAGTCAAACGCAACGAGCAGTTCACTGGCCGCTAGTTTAGCGCGTCTCTGCCAGTTCATTCCCGCGTACGCCGGCGTGGCCTGAAATCCACATTAGTTTTATGTTTGGAGGTCCGATCTTACTGCTTCGTAAAGAGTACTGTTGGGACATGTAAAAAGCTTAGGTATAAGTTTCATTAGATTAAATTAGGTGGGCGATTTGGTGGGCGAAATGCCCGTATAGTTCTGCTTACCGCAATGTGGTACGGAGAGCACAGTTTTTTGATGTGGATTTTCGCGCAATTACCATAGAGAGGAAGGCCGTAATCTATCTTCGACAACACAAGCGCCCTCGCTACATTTATTAGAGTTGCAGAGTTGATTAAACAATGTTTAGATGATAAATATTAGATAATATTCAGTCGGGCAGCCAGTTGCTTTCTCAAATACAAATAATGTTCCTTAAAGGTAAGTTTCTTATCAAAAATTACACCTAAGAACTTAAGACTATTAGTGTTTGAGATAGGGCTGTTATTGTAAATAATTGTAAATTAATCACAGTTGTGCTTGCGACAAATGTGGAAATTTTTKCATTTATTTACAGCCACATTGGCGCCCGAAGATTCGGACCATATATTGAGATCCCTAAGAATATTTGTGAAGTCCCGTTTAACAACATTTAAATCATTCAGTTTACTGAAAATCAACACACCATCAGCATAGAAGATATGATCAATATTTATGTATTTATTAATTAATTTTTTATTTATCAACATTTTTTCATGACTCTAATAGGGGCGATGACCATTCACGTACTTTTAAAGATAATTTGGGTTGTTGTGTTTCAGATGATCCAAACATGAGAAATCCTGCCCGCCATTTCATTCCCTCAGCCATTTCTCCGGCACATGTCAACCAAAAATTTGTTTATACACTCCACGATATACATAATGATATGTGAAAAAAAGATCTAGTGTAGAATAAAAATTTTTATGAAAAAAAATGTCAAAAAAAAAAAACAGCCCGATTACCCCACTGACCCCTTAACTAGAACAGCGGGCATTACCTTCAACTTTTTCAAGGTTGCGTCTTATGCGATGATTTATTGTGCATATTTATGCTACCCCTTTTTTGGTAGTTTATCATTGTTTGTGTTGTCCGTTATTATGGTTGTGCTGAGCTTTTTAGTAACGTTTAGTTTGATATTTTCCCAAGAGACAACAAAGAGCCGGTCACAGTTTAGTGAAACAAAGCAGCAATTGAAAGATGCAACAGTAGCAGCGTTCGCTGACACGCATTAATTGAGAAAACTTTCAAAAATAGCCAAAATGCATTAATAAAGACTTTTCCAAGAAACCTAGAAATATTTTTTTTTCAAAAATTTGTCCAACTAACCTTCAAAAATCTTTGTTTAGAATAATTTTTCTTTTGAAAAGCGTATGATTGACCTAGCCCTTTGTCACGTGAACTCCAATGAATTTCCGGAAAAGAGTTTAAATTCCCGGCAACTGTTCACTTCAATATGTTTAATATACTTTTAATACTGCTCATAATTTTTCTGGTTAGTTTTCAATACAAAAACTTAACGGTTTAAAGGCAGATGCTAGCTATTTTTTTGTTAGCTATATACAATGCTATAGTTGGAAACTGTTTTAGCATATTCCCAGTACGATCATCGCTCGGTTATTGTTACAGCCAAGTTCATTCCGATTATACTTTGTACTATGCCTGTGGATTAAAATTTTTCCACTACACGCGCAATTGTTAATCTGACAGGACTATCATGAAGATCATAAATTGCACGTAGCGCTCTTAAAGTTGAGGCTACTGACTCCGCATTTTGGTAGTAAATTTAAATAAATTTCAACTACTTGTTGCACCGTATATCTTTCCACGATGAAACTTTACTGAAGAGAAATATCTAAAGAGTGGGGAAAAATATCGGTCTACTTTTATAGCGTTCGTATTGAAAAACTTCATATTTTATTATGCAGTGCAATGTCTTGTTTCTGCGCCTAAAGGTATGCTTACAGAGCACAAGAATTCCCACAAAGCGATATGCAAGGTAGTAAAAGCTAGGAATTTTGTTACAGTTTTACCGATTTGTTTTTGTTTTTTGAATTACGCAAACACCAAACCATGTCAAAGATGCTACATACCGTACGTAAATTAAATGTAAATGTGCGAGAAAAGGCGTAAAATTTTTGGATGCGAAAATATTTCTTTTAACGAAATCCACGTTATTGTTATTTCAATTGTATTGTTGTTGTCAATGTTTTTACTGCTTTTGTTGTTGTTTTTTCATTATTTCATATTATCGTTCTTGTTATAGCTTTCTACCGCTTTTAAGAACTTTCAATGTTAGCTATATACCCTTTTAATGGCGATCGACCTTTGCGCCTGCCAACATATACACTCGCAACATGGTTTAACATTGAAGGACGAAGTCGGGCGTGCGAGCAATGTTTGAATATAAAAACAAAAACAAGTACCGCTAAGTAAAAAGTGCTCAGATATTGTATAAAAGAATGCTGTATTTGTTGTTGTCCTTTTAGTGTTGCCATATTATTTTAGCAGCGTGTTTCACAAGGCGTAGAGGGTAAGAGGCTGTTCATGTTTAAAAGCCCCACAAATATATCTGTATAAACAGAAAGTCGCTTCAAATTGAGAGACAACGTGCTCACTTTCACTGGCTATTATTATTTAATAAGCGCCTATGTACTTACTTAAGTGTTCAAGACTTGCTGCAATAGAGAGTAATAACACAAGAGCGGTGAAAATATGTAAATAGTGTTATTGTAACCTTAGCCATATATCGTTATATTATATACTCGTGTGAGAGTTATGAAAAGTCGAGCACTAAATAATCCACGGTTGTACGAACGGGCATCAACTGTTACTCGCTACCGGCAAGACGAAAACTATTGGTTGCATAAGCTCACTAATACAAACATAGTTATGTTTACTTGCTGCTTAATGTATATAGCTTGTTTTGGCGCCAAAACACACTTAAGCGAAAATCTTGCCGATGGCTGTAACGGATAATTTTAGCACGTAACTGCCTTATAAATATTAAAGGAAAATACTTCGGACATATCTCAATGAGCAGAGGATTGGTACATAAAAATGAAATGAGCGCCGGGATGTATAGCCCGCAGCCAGATCTGCAGAATACTTCTGCGTCTTCAGAATGAAAAGAGCGTTTGCGGTAAAGCAAGCTATTGAGATGGCTAACAATGTAGGAAGCGATACAAAGTACCAGCGTCACATGTAAGTGGGTTGGGCTTAAGAAACAAGGATATATACAGAAAAAGCAAGAAAGTATGGACGAGAGAGACGCTGGAACACCTCCTTTGCTCCTAACCAGCCTTATCTTGCACTCATTTTAGATATCTAGGAACCTCGCAGTTCAAGAGACTTGTGAAAGTATTACAATTAGATGTCAAGTCTTTCACATATTCAAAAACTACGTCATGAAAGGAAACGTTTAGATAAAATCCACTGCTTTGATAGGTTATGAATTGAATGGCATAGTAGAAACTAAAGTTTCTTGAGCTATACCCAGATTGTTCTGGCAAGATTTCAGAAACACAGAGTTATTGAGTAGCTTTATTATATAATATTTTGAAAAAACGGCAAATGCATCCAAACCAAGACGTACTTATTTACTATGATAATATACATGCAGTATATAGAAGTAAAGTATATAAAAGTGCTTATACGTATAATGTAAATACATGTATATAGTCTCTCACGAAGCTTCCTTATCACTTGTTTTTGCTCTCTGTACAAATAAGATGGAGACGTGTACAGAATCACTCACTAAGTATCCTTGTCCCTTAATCCTGTTCTCCGCATTGCGCTCGCTCTCAACATTTTACCCGGTCTCAATTTATTATCAGCTGTCTCTTAGTATTTTCGCGTATTTTCGATATCCTTCTCTCCAAGCTATGCTAGTAGAAATTCACCATTGTCATTCACCATTTTTGTTGATGTTGCACCAACTCGCTGGACCACTACATCGTTCAGTCATCGCCGCGCTGTCAACACAACTGGTACATTCAATGAAAGAATTATCACGGATAATAACAACAAAAAAGTTTCATATATAAAATATTTACCTCTCTCAACTGTCAGTCAATTTGCTGGAGTCACCAGCCGTGTCACTGGTGAGCTAAAGAGTTGCTAATTGCTTCTGACATTTTCGCACTTGCTGTGACATTTTCTACTGACAGCAAATGCTAGCGGCATTTCAACAACAATAACAAATTGATCAAAAATACAACAAATATAACAAAAGCAAATACACACACGCGCATTTAATGTGAGGGCAAAATCGTAGTCGGTAATTTACCGTTAATTAAGTGCTCTCGAAATCACGTTCTTAAGTGTAGGTTAGCTATTGCGCGGAAGTGGAGTTTTGGTACTTCCGACGACATACATATATAAAATAAATAGCAAAACCGGCCAGAAGTAAACTGCTAATTGCAGGCACTTATATTTGAGTGTGTTACTTAATACTTACGCTGGTGTATTTGTGAATTTACTTTTTACGCGCAAAGTTAATTGGCGGCAAACGTTGATGTTGACGTTGACAGCAACGCAGTCATAACTCGGTCAGTCGGTCGTGGCTGCGAAGTCACATGTTACGCATAATTAATGTTAGAAACAAATATGGCAAACAAGCTAACACATACATATATAAATAGAGAAACTAAAAGCGTGTGCGCTCCCACTTGTGTACATATAATATTATTATTGTCTGCCAGTAGCCACAGGGCGTTCAAGTAACGCCACGTGACTGGCAGAAAAGTGAAGCAGCAGCGCCTTTGAGTCTGCGTTTACTGCTCAGCGTGCAAATATATTATTAATTATTGTTATGTTGTGAGCACTGACGTAAGCACGTGTGAATGTATGCCTGCTTTAGCTTTTGTTGTTATTCAATTGGTATTTGTTTTGCAGTTTTAATTGGGAATACATAACGCTTGAGTGTAAAGTGGTTAAAAACGATTCAAAAATTGGCGTTGTATATAAGTATGAAGGACCAACAATAAATAAGCAATTTGGAGAATGTGAAAATTTGTCAATAGACATGTCGTGGGATTAATGCGAGATCCATGTCGTAAATTGTTTGTAAACAAATGAGGAGCAATTAAGTCGAATCGGCATATGCTGTAAAACATCAATTACAATAACTGGAAACAGTGTAGTGGCATTGTGTGTTACATAATATATAATTAGCTAAAATAAAAAAAAAAAATAATAATTAAAATAGTAGAAAATAAAACTATTAGAATTAAATTGAAATCAAATTAATTATGTTAAGAGTAAATTTAAATACGGCGGACTTGAACAGAATAAAATACAAATTAAATTAAAAATATTAAGAAATACAAAAATTATATATTTACATCAAGCTTTATTACAAACTTAGTGTTTGTTGGTTTATTCGTTCAAAGTGCGTGATTCCAACTGAATAGCGCCAGCTTATTACTTTAATATAAAAGTTTATAAACGAGCTAAAACTCTTATAGATGGTGTCGGTGTGTTATAGCATTTTTCGAACTTGCTTTTTATATTTCATGATTAGGAAACAAAAATAATAATTAATCATCGAAAACTGTTTTCTTRTTTTACAAAATATTCTTCATTAAAATCTATACTCTGATTGAGATGTCTTCAAAATATGAGTTCTTAATGCATGAACACGCCTCTTCACGTTTGGAAAAAATATCAGTCTCTTGGCTCATTTTTAACGCAGTTATGAAATCGATTTTGAGAGCTCTAATATTCGATTGCTTTAGTCGATATATCAGAACTCGCATTGTCGTGGTGAAAAGTGATCCGTCTACAGCTGTTAAATTTCCATGTTTTTTGAAAGACAACTGGCAAACAAATGGTTATTATTTTTTTTTTTTTGAAGCGACTGACAAATTGTGTGAGATCCAAAGTGAACYAATATTTTTCCTTTACCTTTAGTCGTCTCAATCTCATGATAGCTCAAATTACAATCTTGCAATATCAGTTGAACATCAATAGATTCCTGAACAAAAACTGATTYTAGACGGCCTTCATGAAATTCGTCTAGGAGTGATTTACGAGCTCGATTGACTTCATCAAACTATCGATAAACACTGGTTCTTTATAGGGCTTCATCGCTAAAAATGAAACCAAGTTCATCGATACTCTGTTGCTGTTTTAATTTACATCGAAAGTTGTAAAAAATAATCGCGCGAAAATATTCAACACTTCATTCCCTTTTTTGGCCGAGATCAATATTTCAAATTAATGTAAATAACACAAATAGCGATCTTATATCAAACCATTCTGACTAACATCAAAAATGTCTGATTTTACGAAAAAGTGTTAATTGTCCGATTGCAGCAATAAGGTTACCAAATCCCAAAATATAAAAGGCATAAGCAAGGTATATATTTCTATTATATGGGGAAAAGAACTGCAAAAATCCCTAAAGGTAAAATTAAAGTTTATATATTA